GTTCCCCATCACACACATTATACACATTGTCATGTGTTCTTTACTTACATGTGTTTGTACCTTCATAGCATTGTTATGCTTGCCCCAAATTGCATTGTTATGCGTCCTACTCGACTTGCGTTGTCACGCACTTTCAATTGCATTGATTGCATACTACTAACAATATTGTACCTGTTAAGTTTTCTTTCTCTTTCAGGCGTGATATTGTATGTACGGTTCATTTGAAGCTGGTGCAACCAGACGAACCGCACAGGTATTGTATTCCCCACGTGAAACGTAGCGAGAATTACATGATTCTCTCACATCCTTTCTGCATTGTAATGTAGTTAGATTTGTGTTGATTGCTTAAAACTGTTGCATGTTATGCTTCGTTACAGTTTTCTTTGCATGATCATAAGTTATGTTCGGCTTCTTGCATTGTCAGTTGCATTTTGCCCCCGCCTTTGGGTGCATATCTTATCTGTAGCTTGTATGTTTGTCTAAATCTTCGGCCTTCTCAAAAATGGGTCGTTTCTGGGCTTTGACACTCACTCCCGTCATTGTTATGACTTTCGAGTTCTGTCGAAGAGGGGCAACTGTAGACACCCCATTTTTGACCGTTCTCAAGACTTGGACGTCACCGTTTGAACACTCGGTGATCATCCATGTTCGTGTTTGTTTTGAGTTCCCGGAGGTCTCGGCTACGCGCCTTGCCTCAGGATCTTTCAACTTACTTGTTCTGTGCTTGGTTTTGCACCAACGACTTGTGTGTTTTGTACCTGAGGGTAGAGAGTAGCTTGTTAGCTACCCCTGACCCCCACCGGCCTTTGATTGAGGCCATCGGCCGTGTATTCTTGCTACTGGCCATTGGTGAAATATTCCATTGGCCAGTCGGCACTTAGTGTGGTCAGCCGACCATCTGTTTGGCCGATGGCCTCCTTTTCTGGCCGGTGCCACTTTTTGCCTTTTTCAGGCATGGTGCAAGCCAGCTATGCCAGTTAGAATGCACGGACCCTCCTCCCCATACACGAGTGTGGCAGTTTTGCCCCTTTTGCACCTTTTTGGTCTAGCTTCTTGAGAAAGCTTGGACCTTTGTCTTAGCTTCCTCAAGAAGCTTGGACACCTGTCCCAACTTCCTAAGGAAGCCTTGCACCCTTAGCTTAGCTTCCCTTAGAAGGCTTGACCCTTTTTGAATAGCTTCCCTTGGAAGCTTAGTCTTTGCATTGTCTATATAAGAGACCCCTCTTCTCCTTTGATGGGTTCAGCGAAACCAGAGCAAAATACATATATATATCTGATATACATCTTCTCTCTCTATATCTCCCTCTCTCTCTTCATTTGTGTGTGTTTAAGGGCCTAAAAGGGTGATTTGTTCTTACTTTTGCACTAAAACACACACCATCACACCATACTTCGACATGGGAGGTCTTGAGGGTTTGTTCTTGAAGTTTTGAGGTGGTTTTGATCATAAGGAAGAGGCTGAGCTTGCTATTCTTGAAGTGTTCTTCAAGGGTAACACTTTTGCTTTAGATTCCCCAATCTTGCACTAGTCTTTAACCTATCTTGCTTACTGATTTAGACTTTGTGTATAACTAAAAAAAGTCTTGTATTTGCATGCTTAAGATACTTCATTAAGATTGTTTTGGTGTTGGGGGTCGACCTCCCCCTCTAACGCCTTGTTTGGCCCTTTTTGTGCCTCCATTGTTAAGCTTTGGTTATTTTGGTGTATTGGCCTTCTCACCACTGAAATCCAGTGGATTTTCAGTGGTGAAGAAGCCAGACCACAGGCCGCAGCCTTGGCTGAAGTGTGTGGAATCAAGCTCCCAAACCAAACCCCCCTAGTTCTCGCACTCTCTTCTCCTCCTTCCTCTTCTTTCTTCTTCTCCTTCCTCCTCTGCCAGTGCCTGGATTGCCATGCAAAACTTCACCTTCCCAGATTCATCAATCACCACCTTGAACCACCCACACCCTTTCATGAACCACGCCGCTGGAAGTAGTCTCTATTTGTAAATAGAGAAATGGGTTTCTCTAAAGCTGTCCCAGAGCTGCCATTTTACTAGAATAGAAACTCACTTTTTGAGCAATGATTGAAAATAGAACAAAACCCAGTTTGGAATTTTTTTTTAAAAGAAACACTCACTTTGCTTTTTCAAGATTGAAAAAAGAAACAAGAATTGGATAGGGTTAATTGGTTTGAGGAATGAGATTTTACTGTTTGAGAGGAATGCAATCAAAGATTGAAAATGGAACAAAAAACCCATTTTGGGATTTACTTAAAGGAACACACACTTTACTTTTCATGATTGAAAAATGAGTTGTTTTAGATTGGGAAAGTTTGGAGAATCCAAAAAGAGATCTAAAAAATGGAATTAGGAAACTGAAAGGATCATGGTGTGAGATTCAGAGCATCTCACAAAAAGGGCATTTCAAGAGTGAAACCAAACAATTAAACACAGGAGAGAGAGAGAGAGAGAGAGAGAGAGAGAGAGAGAGATGTGGAAATGGGAAGATGAAGTAAACCCAGAACATATTAAGCCATGAACAAGTGGAAAAGGAAATAACTGTATTTTGGCGATGATAGAAACCCACTTTATATATGCAAAAATGGGATTGTTTGCTGAGAGAGACAGTGTTTGGTCGTCGGCGAGAAGATAGAAGAGAGAGAGAGAGGAGTGCTGTGACACAGGAGTGAGGAAGGAGAGAGAGAGAGGGGAGCGTGGGTCTGTGTGAGAGCGAGAGAAAAATGCTTGAGAGCGAGAGGAGCGTGGGTTGAGTGTTTGCAAAATTGGTGCCAGTAAATCCGGGCTAGTCGGGGGACTCTGTTTTGTGTGGATTAAACATTTCTCTACGCAAAATGTTTAGTAGTCCGAATTTTTGTGTTTTGAGTAGTTCGAATGTGTTAAAACGACGTCGTTTTATATCAAAAATGTTATTTTGAATGTTTCAAACCATTCAAATCATGATTTTTCGAATCACCTAACATTGTTGTTTTTCTACTTATACTAACATTCCTTCCATTATTAATGAATATTATTTTATTCTTCTTTTTTTATAAATTTGTATATATTGACTTCTTTAATTTTAAAAGTCATATAAATATATCTTTTTAGAGGTGGTAAGTTCAGATAAAAAACAATATATTTTTATAATTAAGCGATTGAAATGTACAAATTCATAAATTCACTAATAGATGGGGGCGGGGGGTGTGGGTTTGGTATAAATAACTGTTAAATTAAAAAAATATGAGTCTGAATTGCCAATATTAACATACATATAAATTAAGGGGGTTTACTCAAAATTTGCGCCACTGTCAAGTAATTAAATAAAAGGGAGAATAAAATAAAAGTAAAAGTAATTTATTCTCCCTATAAATTAAGGGAAAATTACTCATAAATTTTATTTGAAGAAAAGTTATTCCATTTAATTCTAAATGTATATTTTTTTTGTCAAATCAATTATTCTTTTTTGTTTTGGATATATTGTATTTTCTTGATTTGAGAGTTTACTTGTTTGCCCTTGTGTGTGATTTTGTTTGGATTATTTTTTATTTTTATGTTGGGGGTGTGTAAATGAAGTAAATTTTTACGTTTCTATTTTCTTTGTGGGGATTTAGTGGAGTAATTTGTGGGTGGATGACATTACCTCGTTTGTGGTATTTCAAGACACTATATTTTCAAAGAGATTTACCAACATGAACACAAAATTTTACAAATAAAAAACTAAAGAGACCATTACGGGTTATCACGCTATCCACCCCTTGCAACCAATCGCACTCTATTACGTAATAAAAACATAAATTCTAGCATATATCTAAATGTCATTTGCCCAATCAACATACCACTACGTCGAACATTTTATCAACATAAATGTGGTTGCTGGTTGCATTGTCTAATTTTCGGTCGATGCAGTGTTAATGATGATAGCATTATGTCATGGAGTGTCATTTTATTCCAGCATATATCTAAATGTCATTCGTCCAATCGACATACCACTACGTCAAACATTTTACCAACATGGATGTGGTTGCCATCACATATTACCTAACAGGGATGTAATTTATTTTACAAAGCCACACATCCGTAAACGAACCAACCAAAAGGGGATCCAACCATTTAACAACATAAGGACAAAACCAACTAAACAAGTGCGACTAACATTGCAATTCAAACTGCCTGACACTAATTCAATTTAAACCACAAACCAACACATCCGTAAACAAACCCAACCAAAATGGGACCCAACCATTCAGCAAAAGAACAACAGAATGAACAAATGCGACTAACATTGCATTTCATTAACACGTAAATTATCAATATTACACTTAACTAACATTGATGTCATTATCATTCCACATCACCTCCACCATATATACCACTGACAAATGGGGGAAATAACAACACAACCAATACAACCAATGGCATTACAATTAAACTGATGCCAAAATACACCACAACAATCTAATGTCAGACATAAATTTACACTGCCAGAACACCAACCACAAAAGCGATTAGCCATTACATGACCATGCTCTCAATACAGTTTGAAATCCACCCATCCATTAACATCTACTAAATCACTATTTAGTAACTAACACTACTACATATCGTCAAGAACAAAAACACACTCTAACGTTGAACACACAAACCGAATCAAATAAAATAACAAGGAAATCGACATTGGGGGCTACATAACTAACACCATCGTTCACTAACACAGCCGCAGAGGCCGACGATGAGTGAATGAAACCTCGAATATTGCTGGAGTGATGTCATTAAAGTCAACCACGACCACAAAATTATTCACTTCCGTTGTGTATCGATGACGCAATTTCACTTACAGAAGAGGGTTTTCTTATTTCTAGGGTTTGGGAGGAAAACCGAATGTTAATTGCAAAAAATATAATATTTACTGCATTTCTTTTATGTTAATCTCTGTCCAAGCTATGATTGATGTTATTTCTCTCTAGTTGAATTCTGTTCCCCCCTTTTTTTGCTCGTTGATGTACTCTCTCATTGGTAGAGGGAAGATGCTACTGTCAGTATTGTCCACTCAAGAACCAAGAATCCAGAGGAGATCACAAGACAAGCAGATATCATCATTTCTGCGGTAGGCATGCCGAACATGGTGCGGGGTAGTTGGATAAAGCCGGGTGCAGTTATTATTGATGTTGGAATTAATCCAGTTGAGGTGAGCAGGGTCTTTCCCAAGCTTTTTGTCATGCTTACATCACATTTTCACAAGAATTAAGTCTAAGAACACAGAAACCAATCATAGAACTGGACACAAAATGTGTATGGATGGATAGGATTTTCTGGATGTGAATCCCACCCACCAACAAACTTCATAAAATCTTATCTATTCATGTATTGGTTTCGGGATAAGTTTTTGTGTTTGTGGCAAAACTTTTTTCACAAGCCCTCTCTCTCTCTCTCTCACACACACACACACACACACACACAACACACACACACACACCCATATGTATGCACACACAAAAGTTGTCTTATTTTCGCTTTCTTAATCATAAAACCGGACACAAAATGTAAATGGATGGATAAGTTTTCTAGATGAGGATCCCACCAACAATCTTTATATAGTCTTATCCATTAATGTATATTCTGTGTTGGGTTTTGTGATAAGTTTTTGTGTTCATAGCAGAACTATTTTTACAAGCTCTCTGTGTGTCTCACAGCCACACACACATACACGTGCACACAAAATTTGTCTTATTTTTGCTTTCTTAATCATTGAAAGAGAAGAAATTATGGTTTAGACACCATAAGGTTCAGTAAGAGATGTATTGAAATATATCTGCACTTGGGGATTGGGGGGAATGAATGGGAAAATGCTGGACTGAATTGTGCTGATTCTGTGTGGATCTTCTGTGACAGGATGCGAAAAGCGCAAGGGGTTATCGTTTGGTCGGAGATGTTTGTTACGAGGAGGCTTGCAAAATTGCTTCAGCCATTACTCCTGTTCCTGGGGGAGTCGGTCCAATGACTATAGCAATGCTACTATCTAATTCTCTCAGCGCAGCGAAGAGAGTGCACAACTTCAAGTGAGGTTTTCAATATTACTGTTTTGATTCAGTTGAGTTGCCCCATTCTTATTTATGTAGTTTCTATCGTTAACCGTCGATTCATGTAGTTTCTATCGTTTAATTTTTTTCAATATCTGAAATTTGGGAAATAGAAAATGCATTATTTGATGTGGGGATGAGTATTTGTATGAGTAATGTTATATAAACCAACAAATAATTTTTCTTACTCACATATGTGACACTATTATTTTAGTTGGTCCCATTTCAGATACTAAAGTTTTGTTACTGCATGTTACGTAGTAAGTGAAAAGTTTTCAAAGATTTGTTGATTTATATAATATTTTCCTACTTTCAAACTTGATGCCTTTTTTTATTTTTATTTTATTTTTTACATGGGAACCATTTTCACATATTTTGATCTTACAATTGTATTGCTGCCAAGACGAAGACAATGGTTGCTGCAATTTTCTGATGGAATGAATCTCAAAATATTAATTTACTTTGTATGTGTACTGTATATTTTTCTGTCAGAATGATCCATAAAATGCTTCTTTTCTTTTTTCTTTTTCTTTTTTTTTAATTTTTTTAATTTTTATTTTAAATAAATGTTACAAAATGGTGGAAAGTGAACCTTCTGCATTGGTTGGACTTTGAAGGCAACAGTTATTTCCTAGGGATCAAGAACTCAGGCACCGTGAAAGGCCAAAAAAATTAATCAATCTGAAGCAAAATCCTAGTTCGTGAATTGAAGGCGGGGCACTGCCCCTCTTTTTTGACCCAAGGCCCGCCTTGGCGGGCTGATCCAGGCAGGGGATGGACTGGGAATGGTTTCTCGAGGGGTCTTCCTCGGGCAGCGAACAATTGGCTCAGAACTTGGACAGACAAGGCGAATTGACTCAGAACTTGTACGGACAAGGGGAATCCGACTGTTTAATTAAACCAGGCCAGACCACAGGCCGCAGCCTTGGCTGAAGTGTGTGGAATCAAGCTCCCAAACCAAACCCCCCTAGTTCTCGCACTCTCTTCTCCTCCTTCCTCTTCTTTCTTCTTCTCCTTCCTCCTCTGCCAGTGCCTGGATTGCCATGCAAAACTTCACCTTCCCAGATTCATCAATCACCACCTTGAACCACCCACACCCTTTCATGAACCACGCCGCTGGAAGTAGTCTCTATTTGTAAATAGAGAAATGGGTTTCTCTAAAGCTGTCCCAGAGCTGCCATTTTACTAGAATAGAAACTCACTTTTTGAGCAATGATTGAAAATAGAACAAAACCCAGTTTGGAATTTTTTTTTAAAAGAAACACTCACTTTACTTTTTCAAGATTGAAAAAAGAAACAAGAATTGGATAGGGTTAACTGGTTTGAGGAATGAGATTTTACTGTTTGAGAGGAATGCAATCAAAGATTGAAAATAGAACAAAAAAACCCAGTTTGGGATTTATTTAAAGGAACACACACTTTACTTTTCATGATTGAAAAATGAGTTGTTTTAGATTGGGAAAGTTTGGAGAATCCAAAAAGAGATCTAAAAAATGGAATTAGGAAACTGAAAGGATCATGGTGTGAGATTCAGAGCATCTCACAAAAAGGGCATTTCAAGAGTGAAACCAAACAATTAAACACAGGAGAGAGAGAGAGAGAGAGAGAGAGAGAGAGAGAGAGATGTGGAAATGGGAAGATGAAGTAAACCCAGAACATATTAAGCCATGAACAAGTGGAAAAGGAAATAACTGTATTTTGGCGATGATAGAAACCCACTTTATATATGCAAAAATGGGATTGTTTGCTGAGAGAGACAGTGTTTGGTCGTCGGCGAGAAGATAGAAGAGAGAGAGAGAGGAGTGCTGTGACACAGGAGTGAGGAAGGAGAGAGAGAGAGGGGAGCGTGGGTCTGTGTGAGAGCGAGAGAAAAATGCTTGAGAGCGAGAGGAGCGTGGGTTGAGTGTTTGCAAAATTGGTGCCAGTAAATCCGGGCTAGTCGGGGGACTCTGTTTTGTGTGGATTAAACATTTCTCTACGCAAAATGTTTAGTAGTCCGAATTTTTGTGTTTTGAGTAGTTCGAATGTGTTAAAACGACGTCGTTTTATATCAAAAATGTTATTTTGAATGTTTCAAACCATTCAAATCATGATTTTTCGAATCACCTAACATTGTTGTTTTTCTACTTATACTAACATTCCTTCCATTATTAATGAATATTATTTTATTCTTCTTTTTTTATAAATTTGTATATATTGACTTCTTTAATTTTAAAAGTCATATAAATATATCTTTTTAGAGGTGGTAAGTTCAGATAAAAAACAATATATTTTTATAATTAAGCGATTGAAATGTACAAATTCATAAATTCACTAATAGATGGGGGCGGGGGGTGTGGGTTTGGTATAAATAACTGTTAAATTAAAAAAATATGAGTCTGAATTGCCAATATTAACATACATATAAATTAAGGGGGTTTACTTAAAATTTGCGCCACTGTCAAGTAATTAAATAAAAGAGAGGATAAAATAAAAGTAAAAGTAATTTATTCTCCCAATAAATTAAGGGAAAAATTACTCATAAATTTTATTTGAAGAAAAGTTATTCCATTTAATTTTAAATGTATATTTTTTTGTCAAATCAATTATTCTTTTTTGTTTTGGATATATTGTATTTTCTTGATTTGAGTGTTTACTTGTTTGCCCTTGTGTGTGATTTTGTTTGGATTATTTTTTATTTTTTATTTTTATGTTGGGGGTGTGTAAATAAAGTAAATTTTTATGTTTCTATTTTCTTTGTGGGGATTTAGTGGAGTAATTTATGGGTGAATGACATTACCTCGTTTGTGGTGTTTCAAGACACTATATTTTCAAAGAGATTTACCAACACTAGCGGCTGAGCACACGCGATGCGTGTGTAATTTTTTTTAGAATTATAATATAAATTTCATATTATTTTTTTTAATAATATAAATACAAAAAATAAATAATAATCTATTAATATAAATAATAAAAAATCCAAAAAAATTTAAAAAAATTAAGACATAAATTGTAAACACAAACACAAATGTTGATATAAACCAAGAAAAATAATAATCAATTTTTTTTTTTTAAACCTGATAATACAATGAAACATTTCATTTTCTATACATTTTTTTATCGAAAGTATGATTAACAATATTTAGTAACTTTAGTATGATGAAAAAAATCAAGGACCGAAGCTATTGTTTTTATTTCCTATACTATTCACAGAACTAAACAGATTTTGTAAAACAAAATAGAGAAACATTAAGAATGTTCGGGAAGAGAAAGACTGACCCATTTTTTTCTGAGAGCAGAGTGACCACACCAAAGATGAAGAACATGAGAAGCATTCCAGAGTGCTCAAAATCGTTCATGTGAGATGGGTTCAAGACACCGTTGACAAAGAACTTGAGGTGCGTAGAATTCAAAAGTTCTATGTACATATCAATAAAAGCACCAATTGCTATAATGTGAGAACGAAGGGGAGAGAGAGAGAGGAAACTGAGTATTGGGTAGTTTTTTTTGAGCAACCAAGTATTGGGTAGTTGATTGAGGGAGAAACTGGAAAACGTGGGATGTGATTTTTTTTTTTGGTCAAATCATCTAATTTACACGTGGACATGGTTGAGGCTTCATGACACCAAAATTGGTGTTGGCTTTTAATAATAGAATAGATGAACACAAAATTTTACAAATAAAAAACTAAAGAGACCATTACGGGTTATCACGCTATCCACCTCTTGCAACCAATCACACACTATTACGTAATAAAAACATAAATTCTAGTATATATCTAAATGTCATTTGCCCAATCAACATACCACTACGTCGAACATTTTATCAACATGAATGTGGTTGCTGGTTGCATTGTCTAATTTTCGGTCGATGCAGTGTTAATGATGATAGCATTATGTCATGGAGTGTCATTTTATTCCAGCATATATCTAAATGTCATTCGTCCAATCGACATACCACTACGTCAAACATTTTACCAACATGGATGTGGTTGCCATCACATATTACCTAACAGGGATGTAATTTATTTTACAAAGCCACACATCCGTAAACGAACCAACCAAAAGGGGATCCAACCATTTAACAACATAAGGACAAAACCCACTAAACAAGTGCGACTAACATTGCAATTCAAACTGCCTGACACTAATTCAATTTAAACCACAAACCAACACATCCGTAAACAAACCCAACCAAAATGGGACCCAACCATTCAGCAAAAGAACAACAGAATGAACAAATGCGACTAACATTGCATTTCATTAACATGTAAATTATCAATATTACGCTTAACTAACATTGATGTCATTATCATTCCACATCGCCTCCACCATATATACCACTGACAAATAGGGGAAATAACAACACAACCAATACAACCAATGGCATTACAATTAAACTGATGCCAAAATACACCACAACAATCTAATGTCAGACATAAATTTACACTACCAGAACACCAACCACAAAAGCGATTAGCCATTACATGACCATACTCTCAATACAGTTTGAAATCCACCCATCCATTAACATCTACTAAATCACTATTTAGTAACTAACACTACTACATATCGTCAAGAACAAAAACACACTCTAACGTTGAACACACAAACCGAATCAAATAAAATAACAAGGAAATCGACATTGGGGGCTACATAACTAACACCATCGTTCACTAACACAGCCGCAGAGGCCGACGATGAGTGAATGAAACCTCGAATATTGCTGGAGTGATGTCATTAAAGTCAACCACGACCACAAAATTATTCACTTCCGTTGTGTATCGATGACGCAATTTCACTTACAGAAGAGGGTTTTCTTATTTCTAGGGTTTGGGAGGAAAACCGAATGTTAATTTGTGTAGGTCGTAATGATGAGTTCACATTACCTGAAACGTTTTCTGTAAAAATGTAGGGTTTTCACCACACTAACATTGCAAATGCAGAACTTGCCATCTTTGTCTCTTCCGTTTTGATCAATTAGGAGGGAAACCAAAAAAACTCTTTAGTAAGCTTTTGGAAAGATTTGTAATTTTCACATCAACGAAACCCCCTTTTTACCCCTCACATCTGGGAGAAACAAGCAGTGCAATAATGTCCAAAATTGTCATTAATATTGAAATGGGACTTATTAGTCTATAAGAAAAAATGCAGGACTAAATAGTGCATAAGATCTAAATGTGGGATTTATTAGTGCTTTACCCTAAATTAAGTTAAAAATTGATAATTATAAAATAAAAGTTAAAAGTATTCATTTGAACTTTTAGATAATT